TAGGGGCCCATTGTAACAGCAAAAGGGTTTAAAAAGTAAAAATAACAGGAGATTTTCACACTATGGCAAAGGAATTTTCCCAAAGTTTTTATTTTAAAATTTTCCCTTTTTTACTGTGTTGCAAGACGGATTTAAAAGTTTTTTAAAAATGCCGGGGATGTTTCTTAAGAAATGGATACTCATCACGAAGAATTATATCAAAAAATCTTCGGGATTTTCCTCCCCCCCCAAACATTCAAAATTTTCTTAATTAAAAAAAAAAAACCTAAAAAACCCCCAAATTTCCCAACATTTTAACATTAAATTTTATTTAGGATAGAAAGAAGGGGGTACAAGGGCCAAAAAGAAACACCGAAATCTAAGACCTTCAAAAAAATTATATTACAGTCCTGATTTAAGAAAATGTTTTTCCCCCCATATATCTACACTAATACATAAAAAAGAAAAAAAATGTATTTTTGGGCACAGTGCCCCAACTCCTTTAAAAAGCCTTTAACGTAGCCCTTTTATCCTAAATTTATTCGAGGGAGTACTTTAACAACCTTTAAGGGTGCCCAAGACTAGAAGTTTAACTGTCAAAAATACATCAAGTGTGGGGGACAAGTGGGGAAGGACATGGAAATTTTGGGGCTCAAGTCCCCCCTTTTTTCAAAACCAATCTTTCATTCATTACAATATGGTACTAAGGTAAGTTAACCCCAGGGAATGAGGGAAAAATAGGACCCTGGGAAATTTCCCCCACATTTTAGGTTTATAGAACGTGAATCTGGGGCAAACAGCTTTGGGGCCGTCAATAACCCAGGAAAATTTTAACAATTCCAGTATATTTTTCATCTAATGTGCAAAAGAAAACATATTACCCCGAGAAAAAGTTTAAAATCAGGGGGTTTAATTTTTGAAGCTAACTGAGCTGTGGGGGTTTTTTTTTGGTATGTTACAGGTTTTAAAGCCGCTTACATGAACCCGAACAGAAGTGCTGTTTTTTCCCAACCCCCTTCCCCAATTTTTTCGATTTTGACCTGGAAGCTCTGGGTTTTTGATGTTTTTTAAAATTTACAACTTGTGTGGCTCTTGAGTGACGTAAGAATGAGGCGAAATTTGGGCTCGGGGGAAAACTTCTCACAAGGGAAAGGTTTAAAAAAGGGGCTCAAAAAACACTGGGGTTTTTATTTAAATTCCAAAAGGGGAAAAGGCTAAACCCCCCGGGGTGAAACTCATCAAACCCCGAAACGGATGTTTTTTTTATAAAAAAAGACAGGGTAGAGGTGGAAAGAAAATAAAAATTTTACTACATGCAAAAACAAAAATGAAGTTAACTAGATGACCCAAAATTTCAGGTAGAATGTTTGAGGTTTAAGAGCCCGGGGATCCAAAAAGCCCCTACACCCAAAAAAAGAATTTTTATTTTAAAACTTTTTTTTTGGGGTTGGGGGCCCTTTTAAAAACAAAAGCAGCCAAAATATAAAAACATTTTCATAAAAATAGGCCCTTTAACCCTATCCCCCAAAAGTTTTTAAGACTAATAAAAATTAAAATATTTTAAAAGGCGGGCATTTTTCCGGCAGAAAAAAAATGCGAATATTCCTCTAGCACAGTGGTTCCCCCAAAATTTGGGGGGAAAATTTCCCCCCCCGGGGGAAATTTTCCCTTTTTTGGGGGGGAAAAGGAGGGGGGGAAAAGAAAAAAGTTAAAGGGAAATTTTGAAAATCTAGAAAAGAAAGCGGTACCCCCCTATGAGGGTTATTGTTAACTTTGGGCTTTGTATATAAAGTTTTTAAAGTAAACCCATTAAAAAGTAATAAAATTAAAACCCAAAAAACAAAAAAACATCAAAAAAAAATTAGTATTTGAAAAGAAAAAAAATTTTAGCTAAGGGGTGTGGAAACCCAAAAGTAATTTTTACAAATGCTTTAGGGGAAAAGTCACTCAGTAGCCCAGATCGACCCCGCCAGTACAAAGTCACTCCCCTTTCCCGAGGCTTTCCTCTATTTCAAAACTGTCAATTTAAACTGTGAGCATCAGCCGGGTAGACCCTAACTATATGTATGTGTACTGGGCCCCGGGGGCAAATAATAGTTAGTTTTACCCACTGTTCTGTGAATTTTTTTAGCTATTATTAATTTTATAAAATTTTACGTTTTGGGGGTTTTTACGTTTTTAAGGTTTTGCTAGGGTTAGCAAGGGAAAAGGGGAGGGTGTATACGTTCACTTTCCCTAATATCAATAATAACAACAATTTTTTTAAAGGGGGGAAAAAAAACTTTATGGGCATTAAATTGGGGAACAAGCTGAAAAAGTTTGGGGAACCCCGGGCCCAGCGAGTCTAGCAAGATATATCAACGTTAACCCGTTATTTTCCTGAAAAAACCTTTTTTGGGTGAAAAAAATCGATAAAACCCAATTAGGTAATTTAACTTTTTTGGGGAAAAACCTAATTAACAGATCAAAAATTTTTTTTGGAATTAACAAGGGAATATTAAATTAGAAGCAAAGGTCTAAACAAATTAGAGTAAAGAAAACGTCAATGGGGAGGAAGGGTTAGTAACCCAGGAAACCCTAAGAAAGTCGGTCATTGTGGCTTATTTGTATTGCCATCATGTTTTTAGGTATTCCCCAGAATGCGAACCACAACAGTCAGCTAATTCTTTAGTATTTATTTACTGCTGGGTAACATGGACAGCAGGTGGTAGGAGACACGTGTGTCCCGCCTCGTATTGGCTATTGTTGGGTAGCAGTGCTAAGGGACGGAGAAAAAAGGGATGACTTGATTCAGTGAAGTACTCAGAGAGGACGTCAACCCAGTTAGTGGCCTTAGAACTATTACCTCGCCATATTAAATGTGGGAATCAGAGAGGACACTCATCTTAGTGGCAGTATGGCCCATTCAGGTTGCTAGACGGTGTGTGGGTCAGACAGTTGGCTCATTCAGGTTGCTAGACGGTGTGTGGGTCAGACAGTTGGCTCATTCAGGGTGCTAGACGGTGAGTGGGTCAGACAGCAGGTTCACCCAGTAGGTCGTGTAGGACTCGACCACAGTCGCCCTGACATCAAATATGTCACTTTTTATAAATAACTGAAACTAGATTTATCCAGTAACTCTCTCTCTCACACACACACACACACACACATTATATATATATATATATATATATATATATATATATATATATATATATATATATATATATATATATATATATATATATATTATATATATAAATATATAATATATATATATATATATATATATATATATATATATATATATATATATATATATATGTATATATGCCGTGCCGAATATGTAAAACTGGTCAATTAGCAAGAACTCATTTAAAATTAAGTCCTTTCTAAAATTTTCTCTTATACATTTAAAGATATATTTTTTTCATTAATGTTGATGTAAAAATTTATAATTTTGCACCAAAAGAATCTTAGAAAACTTACCTAACCTTATTATAACAAGAACAATTTATTTTAGCATAACCCAACTAAATATATTTTAGATTTGTTTACAATAATTTAATACTAAACAAACACAATGAAATATATTTTTTTTCGTTAGGTTCAGAATGATTTTGGCGAAATTATTGCATACACAAATTTTCACTTGTCCTATATGGCAAGATGAGCGTTGCTATTTAAGCCAAGATCGCAAGTTCTGCCTATTCGGCACGACATATATATATATATATATATATATATATATATATTATATATATATATTATATATATATATATATATATATATATATATATATAGTAATAGTAGGTTGGTAGATAACCGCCCAGGGAGGTACTACCGTCCTGCCAAGTGAGTGTAAAACGGAAAACTGTAATTGTTTTACATGATGGTAGGATTTCTGGTGTCTTTTTTCTGTCTCATAAACATGCAAGATTTCAGGTATGTCTTGCTACTTCTACTTACACTTAGGTCACACTACACATATATGTACATGTTTGTTTATACACAGTCATCTGAGTTTTCTTTGATTTTATCTTAATAGTTCTTGGTCTTATTAATTTTCCTTTTATATCCATGGGGAAGTGGAATAAGAATCTTTCCTCCGTAAGCCATGCGTGTTGTAAAAGTCAACTAAAATGCCGGGAACAATGGGCTAGTAACCCCTTTTCCTGTAAAGATTACTAAAAAGAATAAGAAGAAAAATGTCAAAGTGGGAAGTCCGAATGTGCGTGGATGTTGTGTGAATCATAAGAAAGAGATGATTGTGGACGTTATGAATGAGAAGAAGCTGGATGTCCTGGCTTTAAGCGAAACAAAGTTGAAGGGGGTGGGAGAGTTTCAGTGGAGAGGAATAAATGGGATTAGGTCAGGGGTTTCAAATAGAGTTAGAGCTAAAGAAGGAGTAGCAATAATGTTGAAGGATAAGTTATGGCAGGAAAAGAGGGACTATAAATGTATTAATTCAAGGATTATGTGGAGTAAAATAAAGGTTGGATGTGAAAAGTGGGTTATAGTAAGCGTATACGCTTACTATACCTTGAGAAGAGAGAAGTGTAGAGGAGAGAGAGAGAGATTTTGGGAAATGTTGAGTGAATGCGTGGGGAGTTTTGAACCAAGTGTGAGAGTAATGGTGTTTGGGGATTTCAATGGTAAAGTGGGCAAGAATGTTATGGAGGGAGTAGTAGGTAAATTTGGGGTGCCAGGGGTAAATGAAAATGGGGAGCTTTTAATTGAGCTATGTGTAGAAAGAGGTTTAGTAATAAGTAATACATATTTTATGAAGAAGAGGATAAATAAATATACAAGGTATGATATAGCACGTAATGAAAGTAGTTTGTTAGATTATGCATTGTTGGATAAAAGGTTGATGGGTAGGCTCCAGGATGTACACGTTTATAGAGGGGCAACTGATACATCGGATCATTATTTAGTTGTAGCTACAGTTAGAGTAAGAGGTAGATGGGAAAAGAGGAAAATGGCAACAACAAGTAAGGGGAAGGTGAAAGTGTATAAACTAAGGGACGAGGAAGTTCGGGTGAGATATAAGCAACTATTGGCAGAAAGGTGGGCATGTGCAAGTATGAGCAGTGGGGGGGTTGAAGAATGTTTGAATAGTTTTAGAAATGCAGTATTAGAATGTGGGGCAGAAGTTTGTGGTTATAGGAGGGTGGGTGCAGGAGGAAAGAGGAGTGCTTGGTAGAATGATGAATTAAAGGTTGTGATAAAAGAGAAAAAGTTAGCTTATGAGAGGTTTTTACAAAGCAGAAGTGTTACAAGAAGAGTAGAGTATATGGAGAGTAAAAGAAAGGTGAAGAGAGTGGTGAGAGAGCGCAAAAGGAGAGCAGATGATAGAGTGGGAGAGGCACTGTCAAGAAATTTTAATTAAAATAAGAACAAAAATTTGGAGGGAGTTAAACAAGTTAAGAAAGCCTAGAGAACAAATGGATTTGTCAGTTAAAAGCAGAGTAGTGGAGTTAGTAGATGGGAAGATGGAGGTTTTGGGCAGATGGTGAGAATATTTTCAGGAACTTTTAAATGTCGACGAAGAAAGGGAGGCGGTAATTTCATGCACTGGACAGGGAGTGAAGAAGAACAGGATGTGAGTGTGGGGAAGGTGCATGAGGCATTACGTAGAATGAAAGGGGATAAAGCAGCTGGAACTGACGGGATCATGACAGAAATGTTAAAAGCAGGGGGGGATATAGTGTTGGAGTGGTTGGTATTTTTGCTTAATAAATGTATGAAAGAGGAGAAGGCACCTAGAGATTGGTGGAGAGCGTGTATAGTCCCTTTATATAAAGGGAAGGGGGAAAAAGAGATTGTAAAAATTATAGAAGAATAAGTTTACTGAGTATACCAGGAAAAGTGTACGGTAGGGTTATAATTGAAAGAATTAGAGGTAAGACAGAATGAAGGATTGCGGATGAGCAAGGAGGTTTTAGAGTGGGTAGGGGATGTGTAGATCAAGTGTTTACATTGAAGCATATATGTGAACAGTATTTAGATAAAGGTAGGAAAGTTTTTATTGCATTTATGGTTTTATAAAAGGCATATGATAGAGTGGATATGGGAGCAATGTGGCAGAAGTTGCAAGTATATGGAATAGGTGGTAAGTTACTAAATGCTGTAAAGAGTTGTTATGAGGATAGTGAGGCTCAGGTTAGGGTGTGTAGAGGAGAGGGAGACTACTTCCTGGTAAAAGTAGGTCTTAGACAGGGATGTGTAATGTCACCATGGTTGTTTAATATATTTATAGATGGGGTTGTAAAAGAAGTAAATGCTAGGGAGTTCAGGAGAGGGGTGGGATTAAATTATGGGGGATCAAATACAAAATGGGAATTGACACAGAAACTTTTTGCTGATGATACTGTGCTTATGGGAGATACTAAAGAAAAATTTCAAAGGTTAGTGGATGAGTTTGGGAGTGTGTGTAAAGGTAGAAAGTTGGAAGTGAACATAGAAAGGAGTAAGGTGATGAGGGTATCAAATGATTTAGTTAAAGAAAAATTGGATATCAAATTGGGGAGGAGGAGTATGGACGAAGTGAATGTTTTCAGATACTTGGGAGTTGACGTGTCGGCGGATGGATTTATGAAGGATGAGGTTAATCATAGAATTAATGAGGAAAAAAGGTGAGTGGTGCGTTGAGGTATATGTGGAGTCAAAAAAAGTTATCTATGGAGGCAAAGAAGGGAATGTATGAAAGTATAGTAGCACCAACACTCTTATATGGATGTGAAGCTTGGGTGGTAAATGCAGCAGCGAGGAGGCGGTTGGAGGCAGTGGAGATGTCCTGTCTAAGGGCAATGTGTGGTGTTAATATTATGCAGAAAATTCGAAGTGTGGAAATTAGGAGGTGTGGAGTTAATAAAAGTATTAGTCAGAGAGCTGAAGAGGGGTTGTTGAGGTGGTTTGGTCATTTAGAAAGAATGGATCAAAGTAGAATGACATAGAGAGCATTAAAATCTGTAGGGGAAGGAAGGCGGGGTAAGGGTCGTCCTCGAATAGGTTGGAAGGATGGGGTAAGGGAGGTTTTGTGGGCGAGGGGCTTGGACTTCCAGCAAGCGTGCGAGAGCGTGTTCGATAGGAGTGAATTGAGACGAGTGGCATTTGGGACCTGACGATCTGTTGGAGTGTGAGCAGGGTAATATTTAGTGAAGAGATTCAGGGAACCCGGTTATTTTTATATAACCGGACTTGAGTCCTGGAAATGGGAAGTACAATGAGGGGTTTGGGATATTGGCAGTTTGGAAGGATATGTTGTGTATCTTTATACGTATATGCTTCTAAGCTGTTGTGTTCTGAGCACCTCTGCAAAAACAGTGATTATGTGTGAATATATATATATATATATATATATATATATATATATATATATATATATATATTATATATATATATTATATATATATATATATATATATATATCAACAAGTCGGCCGTCTCCCACCGAGGCAGGGTGACCCAAAAAAAGAAAGAAAATCCCAAAAAAGAAAATACTTTCATCATCATTCAACACTTTCACCTCACTCACACATAATCACTGTTTTCGCAGAGGTGCTCAGAACACAACAGTTTAGAAGCATATACGTATAAAGATACACAACATATCCCTCCAAACTGCTAATATCCCAAACCCCTCCTTTAGAGTGCAGGCATTGTACTTCCCATTTCCAGGACTCAAGTCCGGCTATATAAAAATAACTGGTTTCCCTGAATCCCTTCACTAAATATTACCCTGCTCACACTCCAACAGATCGTCAGGTCCCAAATACCATTCGTCTCCATTTTCTCCTATCTAACACGCTCACGCACGCTTGCTGGAAGTCCAAGCCTCTCGCCCACAAAACCTCCTTTATCCCCTCTCTCCAACCATTTCGAGGACGACCCCTACCCCGCCTTCCTTCCCCTATAGATTTATATGCTTTCCATGTCATTCTACTTTGATCCATTCTCTCTAAATGACCAAACCACCTCAACAACCCCTCTTCTACCCTCTGACTAATACTTTTATTAACTCCACACCTTTTCCTAATTTCCACACTCCGAATTTTCTGCATAATATTTACACCACACATTGCCCTTATATATATATATATATATATATATATATATATATATATATATATATTATATATATATATATATATTGTAGGTAGTAGGTTGGTAGACAGCAACCGCCCAGGGAGGTACTGCCGTCCTGCCAAGTGAGTGTAAAACGGAAGCCTGTAATTGTTTTACACGATGGTAGGATTGCTGGTGTCTTTTTTTTCTGTCTCAGATACATGCAAGATTTCAGATACGTCTTGCTACTTCTACTTACACTTAGGTCACATTACACATACATGTACAAGCATATATATATACACCCCTTTGGGTTTTCTTCTATTTTCTTTCTAGTTTTTGTTCTTGTTTATTTCCTCTTACCTCCATGGGGAAGTGGAACAGAATTCTTTCTCCATAAGCTGTGCGTTTTGTAAGAGGCGACTAAAATGCCGGGGGCAAGGGGCTAGTAACCCCTTCTCCTGTATATATTTCTTAATGTAAAAGGAGAAACTTTCGTTTTTCTTTTTGGGCCACCCCGCCTCGGTGGGATACGGCCGGTGTGTGAAAGAAAAATATATATATATATATATATATATATATATATATATATATATATATATATATATTATATATATATATATATATACAGGACAAGCCACGGGGGTGGAAATCTTTAGCTACAGTACTTTCACACTTCTCAGTGCGTTATCAGGAGCTGTGCAGTGTTGCAAGGGAGCAACCAAAGCAGGGAGAGAGGCCTCTCTGAGAATAGCGTAGGTGTCACCGTCCACGGTTCCCTTAAACTGGGTTAGTGATCGGTGCCAACCCCACCCTATCATTCCCCTGCTCCCCATATCTTATAATTTCATACTTGACATCTCAGAAACCCTCCTACCCCATATGGAAGGTAGGGGGATGATAGTAGGGTGGGGTTGGCACCGACCACTAACCCAGTCTAAGGGTAACTGTGGACGGTGGCCATCTTATCATTGCAGATGCCTCCCCTCCCGTTAAATGAGTTTATGTTAATGAGCCCTGTTTCCTTTACACAAAAGTCTCCCCTCTATACGTTAGGGTTTTCTCTCGTCATTTAAAGGGCACGTTGTCCTGTGGAGGTATATAATTGCCAGTGACTCCTGTGTCGTAGAGAATATAAATATACGTATTTAAAGTTATTGCTGTCATAGCGGAATATGACTGAATTTATTATTATTCCTACGTTAATTTCGTTTAGGTTACAATATCAATGCTTGTGGGATTTTTCTTATGTTATAATGTTCATCCTTCTGGCTGTTGTGCCTGTGGGCACTTCCGGAACATTCTCCCCTCTCCCTCTCTCACTCCAGTGAAGTGGTCCCCTGGGAACGTATTCGCTTGGAAACCCTCCTTTTTTCTGCAATTTTGCATCCTCCTGATGTGTTGATTGCAACACGAAAGGCCTAGAGCTATCATTCTACCTCCCCCCCCCGTGGTTGTTTTGCACCTTGTTTCGCTTGGTTTGTGATGTTTGCTTAATATATATATATATATATATTATATATATATATATATATATATATATATATATATATATATATATATATATATATATATATATATATATATATGCAAAACAACCACTGTGAAAGAATAGAGAAATTCCAAGCGCTATCGTGATTACTTACATTATCAAGTTCCTTGATAATGTGAGTAGTCACGAAAGCGCTTGGAACTTCTCTATTCTTTCACAGTGGTTGTTTTGCATATTCTGAAATCACCTGTTTACTGTGATCTTATTGCATATATATATATAATATATATATATATATATATATATATATATATATATATATATATATATATATATATATATATATAAACACTGATCTCTGGCTGAGGGAGACAAACCTACGAACCTTGGAACAAGGTACGCAGTGCGTACCTTGTTCCAAGGTTCGTAGGTTCGAGTCTCCTTCAGCCAGAGATTAGTGTTTGTGTATATTTAAAAGTCCTTAGTACCTAGCACTCAAAGAATAATACCAGTGAGGTGCAATTAATAGAGCAGCTAAGAAATTTTGAGAATAAAGTATACACGAAATGTCTTGTTTTGAGTATCGATATATTCCCACCAACAATATTGGTGGTGGGTATATATGGGGACTCAAAACAAGAAATCTGGTGTATACTTTACTGATATGTATAGTACACTTACAGATATGTATAGTATTTATAAAAGGTTTAATAGATACCAGAATATGTTTGGTTTAACGAGAAAGAGTGCAAGAATGAGTACAATATGATGCATCCGTACAGAGGAGAGAAGTCTCTTACATGTTAATCAGCTTAAAAGGTGTGAGGACCTAAAGCTCAGAATGGACCCTAGCTACAAAGTAAGCTACCTGGGAGCCCTCCTCATCACTCTGACTGGCTGACTTACACAACTGGTAGTTGTACCAGCTAAAAGCCATAGTGCTTGAAGCTGATTATAATTAGTATTGTAGAATTGTGGTTACATGTGATGCACGCCAAATGTAATGACGTACTCAGCATGTTCCGTATTTATTAAATTGCCTGTCAACGTTTTGGTATAAAATGGATCACCATCATCAGGATTCATTTTCGGAACATGATTTAACTATGTACAAATCAAAACAAATCACTGAAAATACAATTAAACAGCGAAAGATGAGAAGTTTAAAATGAGGTAAACAAAGTGGTAAGATAACGTTTTTCTGACGTGTCAAACGTTATTATCCAAGACAAACCAAAACACTGAAAATCAATAGAAAATTAAGAGGGTAAACTAAAATTATTTCAGGGTGACTAAGTTAATATGCAAGTCTAAGTTAATATGTTAGTTGAGTGAAGTGGTTTGGCCAGAGAAGTAATTCTCCTATATGCTAATCCCCACTAGGTTCACTAGTGTTAAAATTAGAACAAGTTTGTTTAATTCGATATTTGAGGACGAAAGGGTAAGACAGAATCCTTAAAAGTGAAATAGCTTCCAATAACAATTTGAATTTATAGTGGAGATATCTATTTCCAGCTATATGGAACACTTCTTCCAAATATTACATCACAAAAGCCTGTAAAAAACGAATTTTAGTATAGCAATCATCCTTAAAAACTGCAACTAAAGTAATTATAGCTGAGAATTTTCCAAGAATTATTTCATTATTTTCTGAAATAACTGAAGTGGATATCTGCTGCTTAAGAATAAATTATGGAATAATTTAATTTTAATGTCACAAGCAGATCTTCTTATGGCGAGTTTAGTTTTTATTCTGACTTGTCTTTGATAATAATGGCTTGAGAAATGTGAGACAAACATGGTCTCTTTCCTGGTTCGTTTACTTACTCGCATTTTCAGTGGCCTGTTCTGGTTGGCACATTGTTGTCATGTTCCAGAAATGAAACCTGAAACATTCATGTGCTATTGAAATGTTAACAACATAACATTTGTGAAGAGGTTCTGGAAGAGGGACGTAGAGTACTTGCACTCTGAAGAAAGGGTGGGGATGTTTTGGTTCGGAGAATCATTTAAACAGATATCAGCGCACTTCTGGGAAGACAGCTATTAAAAGAGTGATGGTGAATGTGTTACCTTTTCTTTTTGAGTCACCGTATATGCGTATATTATTTAATCGCTGTCTTACCAGAATAATATTGGCATCACAGTTCAGACGAACCTCCGAGCTGCAACATCGTCACCCCTCCCTGAAGTGCAGACAATGTGCTTACCGCCTCCAGGACGCCAGTAAATCTCAATGGTGTCCCTGAATATCTTCATATTACCTCCAACAGCTTGTCAAGTCATAAAATCCATTTGTCTCCAAAGCCTCTCCGAGCCTCTTTTACCCCCTCCCACCAATCCATCCCTGGATGACCCCTACCCCACCTTTCCACCCCATATTGAAATACCGTTAGTCACTGAATTCTGTTCCAGCCTCTCTCAGCACTCATAAACACCTCAGTAACTCCGCAGCTCTCTTGAATATATTACCTGAATTGCACCTGGCCTTTGAAGTCCTCAGGAACCCAGCTAGCCGTCACTTGTGTCTTAGGGTCACTGTTCTTGTGTTGCACCGCGGCCTGGAAAACACACCGTCAGTAAGCCTGCATCCAAATAGCATACAGCCGACATGAGTACAGAAAAGTGAGGCTGCAGATGAAGCTTGACTTGATAAAAACTCTTCAGAGTATAGAACATTGTTTCAATAAATGCTCGTTCTGCACCATGTCATTTTTCTCGTTTCAGTAAACTTACAATTTAGCTAAATACTATTCATAAAGAGGTAAAGATATTCTTCTCGTTAAGAAAACCGAAAGTGTTTCGTGAGGGAATGTTCGTCAAAAAATTAAACTCTTAGTGTTTAAGCATTAACGGTGCCATGTCCCGTGTTCAAGTTGAATACGGGTTATTAAATATTGAGTATTAAAAATGAAGCTACTGTTATTTTGTTCGTTATCAAACTGTAATTATCATTCCCGTAGTCACTAATCTGTGTCTTTCCTTGAATGTTTAGGTTCTATTTGGTTGGTTTATCGGACTTCAACCCTATCGACACAAGAAATAGGAGTTAGACAGGCACGTGTGATGTCACCTTGGGTGATGGGAGAGGTGAGGGATGAAAAGATAATGAACCTAATACGAAATGGGAGCTGTCACATTTGCTCTTTGCTGAATAGACAGTTCTTTTGGGAGATTCCGAAGAGAAGCTGCAAAGGATGAGGAAGGAGTGTTGTAGTGTATGTAAAAGAAGGGAATTAACAGCAAATATGGAAAATAACAAGGTGATGAGATTAGCGAAAAATCTTGGCAATGAAAGATTCGATATCAGATTGGAGGGAGTGAGTATGGAAGAAGTTAATGTTTTCAATTTTGGAAGTGGACGTGTCGACAGATGGGTCAGCGAAAGTAAAGAAACGAAAGGAAAAACGTGGATGGAATGTTGAGATATCCGTGGAAAGAAGGAAGTTCTTCTGTGAAGGCAAAAAGGAGAACGTACCAGAGTATACTTAGTATTGGTGTGAGGTATGGCCTTCAAGTATTGTAACGAGGAGGAGGTTAGAGGCTGTGGAGATGCCATGTTGGAAAGTAATGTGTGATGTAAATATTAGAGAGAATTCGAAGCTATAAAAATATTTCTATCCTTACCCATCTTACCAAAGACTCTGGTCATAAGAAGAAATAGAAGACTGTGTGTAGTTACCAAAGATATGCTTGAAAGGATGGAGGAGAGGCACTTAGAGCAGAACAAGATGACGAAGAGGACGTATAAATTTAGAGTAGAAGGAAGGAGTAGGAGTCATCCAAAAGAAGGATGGAATGAGGGGCTACAGAAGGTTTAGAACGCTAAGGATTAAGCATCCAGCATGCTTGTAAGTGTTAGTGGGAGTGGAAAGTAATGGTTTTAATGTTTAGACGTGCTGTTGGAGTGTGAGCAAGACAACATTTATGAACTTGAGTTATGAAGGTGAGGCAAAGGGATGTTACAGTACGAAGCCATTTGTGATATCTGTTCACTTTTTACAATACAGTGGAACCCCAGTTGTCGAATTTCATTCGTTTCAGATGTCGATTCGACGACCAAAATCGACAACAACCAAAGCAATTTTTCCCATAAAGAAATATGTAAATATAATTAATCCGTTTCAGACCCCAAATGGCAATATAATAACATATTAACAATGTACTAACAACTACATAAAACGTTTTATAAAATATATAGCACAGGGAAAGTGTAAAAACGAATACTAAATTAAAATTTAACTGAAATTCTCTGCAGAAAATTAAAATTAAACTTTCCCTTTCCTGTCAGAGAAGAGCTAATATTGTTTCTCTTCTTTGTCTCTCTTCACCACTAACATCTTGTTCTGGCTCACTGGTTCTTTGTCTCACTAAAAACCTGTCCAGTGAGGTTTGTTTCAGGCTGTTTTAACACTTGTTTAAACTGAGACATTACACTGTCATTGTTCATGAAAGAGAGATGGATGGCCACTGCTTTGTCTGGATGGCATTTTTCAGCAAACTACTGAACTTCAAGCCATTTAGCCATTTTTTAGGGCATATCATCCCTTCCCTCCTCTTCCTCTGATGAGAGCTCCTCTACTGTGATCTGTTGCTGCTCCTTCTGAAGCCCTACAAGTTCTTCTGTGGTGAGTTCAGTTCTATGATCCTCCTGCAACTCTTCCACAACATCTTCAGTCACCTCTAGGCTCATGGTCTTCCCCAGGAACACAATGTCTTCTACTAACTCAAGCTCATCTTCAAAGCCTTCAAAATCCCTGGCTGCCACAAAGTCAGGCCAGTTCCGTACACGCGAAAACTTGTCCGTCGACAACCAAGAGAAACCCAGACTTTTTTTTTTTATCGGATACTTGTTCGAAAACCGATTTCTTCAACAAGTAATGTAATCGACAACCGAGGCTCGACTGTATAGCAAATGAATAAAAATGGTGGGTGGGTTTCCTGTTTTGGGTCACCGCTGTCTTGGGTCACCTGCTGTCTTGGGTCACCTCTGTCTTGGGTCACTGCTCTCTTGGGTCACTGCTGTCTTGGGTCACTGCTGTCTTGGGTCACTGCTGTCTTGGGTCACCGCTATCTTGGGTCACCGCTGTCTTGGGTCACTGCTGTCTTGGGTCACTGCTGTCTTGGGTCACTGCTGTCTTGGGTCACCGCTGTCTTGGGTCACCGCTATCTTGGGTCACCGCTGTCTTGGGTCACTGTTGTCTTGGGTCACTGCTATCTTGGGTCACCACTGTCTTGGGTCACTGCTATCTTGGGTCACCGCTGTCTTGGGGTCACCACTATCTTGGGTCACCGCTGTCTTGGTGTGAGAAGGCCGATGTAAAATATTTTCTTTGTTTAAAATTTGTCTTAAGCACTGTTTACAATAAGGGCTTCGCCTAAGCCACATATTTTATTTTTTACGACTCTAGGCCCACGTAATGTGAAAACTAAAGACTATATTTTATATGCACCTAAAAATGTTAAGTAAACTTAATTTTAATTAGAATGTTTGAGGCACGAGCAAAGAAACTATGATGGGAGGGTTATACTCACACCATCGTTAGTAGAACAGTCTATGATCCTCCCTGGTTTCTGTACCTTGATAAAGCGTCCCACACGCTCGCCCTTACTGTCCCTGGCTTGCAGCATGAAGCCCTTAAATTCCCTATTTTTCTCTCCGTAGAGCGTCACTGTGGAGCAAGGAAAATCATCAGGGCTCAGTTTGACCTTCCCCAAAGAAAAGGGAAAAATAGTGATGTATTTTGTTGTTGTTGTTGTTGATTTTTCATTTTGCACCAAACCTTGTACACCTGACCTAACTTTGCTAAAATATACGTAATGTCAAATTACTTAATTTATCAGACTGATTAATTTACTATTTCCCTCGGGGTAGAGAATGATAGGATTTTCCCATGATCTCAATTTGTTCTTGAACCAAAAATCAGTATCATCAGATCCTTTTGCTTAGTGCTTCATAGTGATTATAAAAATATAAACTGTGATAGATAGTGTTTATATTTTCTGTCAACCTTAGTCTCTAGTGCTGTTAGATCTGATGTTCCAACACACAGTATCTCACCGTAGTAATAGTCATCCTTGGATGTGATGTGAATATGGAAGGGAGACGGGACGGTCTGGGCGCCCAGAGACAGGTGTCCTGGTTGCATGGTGTCACAGGCTACAGCTACACTCACACTACTGAAGGCCTCCCCACCACCCATCATCATCGCTGCCGCCCACACACCTGCCACCCACAATGCTACCCAATCCATCTTCGTTGTCCTATATCATAAAAAAGTTCTGAAAGTTTTTATTTAGTGTTTAACATCAATATAAATTTTTTACAATGGTCTTGAGGGTACAAAGGTGTTAGTAAATTACGTAGATTTACAACGAGCACCAAAAAATATCTGTATTGCACATCTGTATTTGTTACTGACATTAAAAATTATCTTGTCAAATTCCAATTCCTGGTCAGTTGTTTAATAAGCTTTTTTTTTACCTACTTTTAGCATGTTATGTAAGAAGCTACAAGCTAACGGCACAGCCTCTGTAACTCGACTCACGAAATCGTAATGACACGATTGCAAACAAACCATACCACGGGTGGGGTTAGAACCCGCAATCAGAGAGTCACAAAACTCCAGACCGACGCTTGAGCCACTGGACCAGCTAGCGGGAGATTCGTCTGTAAAAACTTACGTTTGTGGTCACAGTGGTGCCTATGCTAACCTTCCTATGAAGTAAAAATTTACCTAGTTGGAAGAAATATATTGTAGCCAGCTGTCCCAGTGGCTAACGCGTCGATCTGGAGTTTTGTAAGTCTCTGAGCGTGGGTTCTAACCCCACCTGTGGTATGGTTTGTCAGCCTCTGTAGACTGATTTAAGTCTTACAAACCACGGTACGGGTGGCGTTAGAACCCATAGAAAGTGATCGTAAATCTCCAGACCAGTGCATGAATCATGACTTAAATCTTACCTGAGCAATAAGAAATAAATCATTAGGGTCAATAGTATAGAAGCAGAGTCCCAACCGATAACATGTAGTAATATAAGCTGAAAATACTTGGAAGTACTTATAGTACCTACGCAGCACGTAAGGAGAAGTGACTGGGAAGATTTTCGTTTAAATAAATGCCAGGTTAAAGTTTCTCTATAGATAGGCACAATGAGGCTTGCAGGACCCTATGTCTAGTTATTATACAGTCATGTAGACTTGTCTTGTTCTTCATGATTAACAAAAACCAACTAAAAATTACCCAGAATAAGATAGTCACCCTGGACCTGGGTGCAAGAGAGCATGTAACCACCATGAACTGTAGCAACTGGATTGGCAGTTATACATATAAAACTGTTTACGAGAAGTGTCAAGAATGTCTAGCTGCAAATTTTGGCAAATTTAGGAACTGAAGCCAGTATGGTTCTAGGAAAAAGTGGACACATTTTTGCAGCACCCGCGGTAGGTCAGGCCTCAAACACTTTCTATTACTCAACAATAGAAGAGCCGAACAGGTTGCTTGATCATGTCAAGGCCAGAATAGGTATAAACCAGTTTAGGAACTGAGTTAAAAGAGTACCTAATGAATAGTTTTTGTTTTACACAGGCTAAGAGTTGTTATCTCACCTCACCTCATTTCAAAGCCCAGGCGGATAAAAGTTATACCTTCCCATCCCCACCAGGCAGTGACCCACAACAGTCTACTAACATCCAGGTGCCTACTTGGTAATCATGGGCAGCAGGTGTAAGGAAACATGCCCAATGTGTGGGAAATAAGAGAAGGCAACTGATTTCCCGAACCGTTAGATCCACTAAATAGGGGTGATGTGAAGGAGAGGACACGAGCAGTGGACTCACAAACCAGGGAACGGGTGGAGTTGAACTCGTGGCTAGTGAGTCATAAAACTCCTGACCACCGCGGTTAAATCCCCGCCCGTACCGTGGTTTGTTTGCAATTGTGTCATTACGATTTCGTGAGCCAAGTGGACCTAAATATGCCTACGTCCGATGATGCCACATTTCCTTGTCCACTCTTAATTTGTAAAGCTAATTTAGAAATGAAGCTTCTATAAGCTAAAAATACATTACTTATACATATTTAAGCTAAGCTGGAGTTAGACTTACAGTAATTTAGTTCACCTTTCTCAACCTACACAAACTGATAGTGGGTATTTGACCAGGCACCCACGAGGGCACAGCTACCCATGCCGGGCACCCACGTTTCAGTCACAAGAAAAACTTTTTCCCGAGCGAGGCGGGTGGCCAAACTCTGCTGAATTGTGCCGATCAATTACCAGCCTAGGTAATTAGGACGACTTATCCGACGACAGGTCTCTGTGCAGTGAAGTACTAACATTTGATAATACGTTAACGCGAATTAGGCCCCTTCACTGTTACCTACGAAACTAATTTGTATCTTCCCTCATGGACAAGACACTTGCAGGTCTGTGACTCATACAGGCATCCCAGGTGTCTTTCCTGGAGCAACATAGACCCCCATACTTCATGATATTAAGTACCCATTAACAGTATCATTCAATGCCTTTTTTGTGTGTTCTTGGGCTGGTCAGTGTGAGGGGTCTTCTACCATCCTTCACCTCAACAGAGGTACAACTTACTCCTGCAACTATATTACAACATTGCCCTGGTGATATAACTTACTCCTGCAACTAGCTTACAACACTGCCCTGGTGATACAACTTACTTCTGCAACTAGCTTACAACATTGCCCTGGTGATACAACTTACTCCTGCAACTAGTTTACAAAATTACCCTGGTGATACAACTACTGTTGCAACTAGTTTACAACACTGGTGATACAACTACTCCTGCAACCAGTTTACAACACTGTCTGGTGATACAACTATTCCTGCAACTAGCTTACAACATTGCCCTGGTGATACAACTACTCTTGCAACTAGTTTACAACACTGGTGATACAACTACTCCTGCAACCAGTTTACAACACTGTCTGGTGATACAATTACTCCTGCAACTAGCTTACAACATTGCCCTGGTGATACAACTACTCCTGCAACTAGCTTACAACATTGCCCTGGTGATACAACTACTCCTGCAACTAGCTTACAACATTGCCCTGGTGATACAACTACTCCTGCAACTAGCTTACAACACTTTTGGTGAAGAACCAGATGTAAGAATTCAGTTATCTAGAAATGGGATGGCAGCTTTCTGGGGATGAATTCCATACTGAGTTGACTGGATCAGCCAATTACACACACACACACACACACACACACACACACACACACACACACACACACACACACACACTGCTCTGCTCATAAAACACCGATGGGGATTTGAGGAAATGGAAGGCATGGACATGATTGGAGAAAGAGACTACATTGTAGGTACAATTCAGTCCGGAGAACATAAAGTAGTCATTGGAGTGATGTATAACCCACCACAGAACTGCAGGAGGCCAAGAGAGGGGTACGAAGAAAACAACAGGGTGATGGTGGACACACTGGCTGAGGTGGTAAGAAAAGCTCACTCGAGCAGAGCAAAGTTACTGGTAATGGGCGATTTCAACCACAGGGAGATCGACTGGGAAAACCTGGAGCCACATGGGGGTCCCGAAACATGGAGAGCCAAGATGATGGATGTGGTACTTGAAAACCTCATGCATCAACATGTCAGGGACACAACCAGAGAGAGAGGGGAGGATGAGCCAGCAAGACTGGATCTTGTGTTCGCCCTGAGCAGTTCAGACATTGAGGACATCACTTTCGAGAGGCCCCTTGGAGCTAGCGATCACGTGGTTCTGAGTTTTGATTATATAGTAGAGTTACAAGTGGAGAAGGTACAGGAACTGAAGGGGACAGGCCAAACATGAAAGGGGGGGCTACACAGGTATGAGAAACTTCCTGCAGGAGGTTCAGTGGGACAGAGAAATGGTAGGAAAATCAGTAAACGAGATGATGGAATATGTGGCAACAAAGTGCAAGGAGCAGAGGAAAAGGTTTGTTCCCAAGGGAAACAGAAATAATAGGAAGACCAAAACGAGTCCTTGGTTTACCCGAAGGTGTAGGGAGGCAAAAACTAAGTGCAACAGAGAATGGAAAAGGTACAGGAGGCATAGGACCCAGGAAAACAAGGAGATTAGTAGAAGAGCCAGAAACGAGTATGCACAGATAAGGAGGGAGGCCCAGCGACAGTATGAAAATGACATAGCATCGAAAGTCAAATCTGACCCGAAACTGCTGTATAGCCACATTAGGAGGAAGACAACAGTCAAGGACCAGGTGATAAGGCTGAGGAAAGAAGGTGAAGAACTCACAAAGAAACGATCAAGAGTATGTGAGGAGCTCAACACGAGATTTAAGGAAGTATTTACAGTAGAGACAGGAAGGACTCTGGGGGGACAGATCAGATGGGGACACCAACAAGGAATACACCAACAAGTGTTTGGACGACATACATACAGATGAGGAGGAAGTGAAGAAACTGCTAAGGGACATCGATACCTCAAAGGCAATGGGACCGGACATCTCCCAGTGGGTCCTTAGAGAGGGAGCAGATATGTTGTGCGTGCCACTTACCACAATCTTCAACACGTCCCTGGAAACTGGGGCAACTACCTGAGGTATGGAAGACGGCAAATGTAGTTCCCATTTTTAAAAAAGGAGACAGAAAAGAGGCACTAAACTATAGACCTGTGTCATTGACTTGTATAGTATGCAAAGTTATGGAGAAGATTATCAGGAGGAGAGTGGTGGAGCACCTGGAACGGAACAAGAGTATAAATGCAACCAGCACGGATTCATGGAAGGCAATCCTGTGTCACAAACCTTCTGGAGTTTTATGATAAAATAACAGAAGTAAGACACGAGAGAGAGGGGTGGGTTGATTGCATCTTCTTGAACTGCAAGAAGGCCTTTGACACAGTTCCTCACAAGAGATTAGTGCAGAAGCTAGAGCATCAGGCGCATATAACAGGAAGGGCACTGCAATGGATCAGAGAATACCTGACAGGGAGGCAACAACGAGTCATGGTACGTAATGATGTATCACAGTGGGCACCTGTGACGAGCGGGGTCCCAGAGGGGTCGGTCCTAGGACCAGTGCTATTTTTGGTATACGTGAACGACATGATGGAAGGGTTAGACTCAGAAGTGTCCCTGTTTGCAGATGATGTGAAGTTAATGAGGAGAATTAAATCTGATGAGGACCAGGCAGGACTTCAAAGGACCTGGACAGACTGGACACCTGGTCCAGCAAATGGCTTCTCGAATTTAAATCCTGCCAAATGCAA